ACAGAGACATGGCAGGGGGTATCACAATCCTCAATTTGAAACTATACTACAAAACCACTGTGATGAAAACAGCAAAGAAAAAGACCTGAGAATCAGTGGAATAGATTGGAAGATACAGAAATAACTCCAGATGTACTCAGCCACCTCATCTTTGACAAAGGAGCCACCCATCCTCACTGGAGGCAAGATAGCCTTTTTAATAAATTGTGTTGGAAAAACTGAATTTCAACCATCCAAAGATTAAAACTAGACCCGTATCTTTCACCATGCAATAAACTAAAATCCAAGTGGATTAAACATCTAAATATTAAAAAAGAAACACTAAACTTGCTGGAAGATAAATTAGGCAGAACTCTTGAAGACATTGCATAGGAAAAGACTTTATGGACAAATCCTCAGTGGAGAAAGTACCTCTTCCCACACCGCTGGGGATGGCATGTGACCTGTACCCTCACTGCCTTGGAGAGAAGCTGTGTATACAAAACAGTATTCAAGTGGGTCTGGCAGGTGGTTGGCAGGGTAATAAAATGAAGAGTAATGTGTAAGCGGCAAGAAGTTTGAGCCGATGCACATACCATTTTGCCCAGAAAGGCCAAGCTGCTCTGCATACCTTGTCATCCAGCCAGGGCTCTCTGGTTAGCCCAAGCCCAAGGCACCTCCCTCTTTCCCATCTCTGACCAGCTCTTTCTAATGTAACTACCACTTCCAGGGCTCCCAGCATTCCCAGTGAAGATGTTTGTTTTTTACTGGCTGAGCCAGCTGCCCTAGGCTCTTTGCAAGTGGCAACCGGGATGAAAAATCTTGCCCATGTTATCCCAGAAATCTGGTCCCAGTCTCCAGTTACCTATCACTGTGTATTATTCCATCCCAACATGTAGTACCTTAAAATAACAGCTCATTATTTCTCAAGATTCTGTGGCTTGGTTTGCTCAGGGTGTCAGTTTCTCTGCTTCCTGGGTCCTGTCCTTTCTCTGTGTGCAGCCAGGAGTGGCTGGGACCCAGTCCTCGCATCTCTGGCCTCTCTTCCCAGCAGCCTCTGCGAGCTTCATCCTGGTGGAAGCTTCCTCCCCAGCAGCTTTCTAAGAGGGCAGGCCCCAGTCCAAAGGTGTCCACTAGGCTCCACACTTGTGAATGTCCCATAGGCCCTACTGTGTCACTCTGAGAGTCAAGGGGCAGGCGGTGAACACTGGGAGGCCATCGGTGCCACAGTGTTCCCTTCTCTGAGGGAGCAGAGCAGGGGAGGACCAGAGCGGCCCAAGGGAGCTCGGTGCCTCTTAGTGCACTTGCAGGACTGACTCCAGTGGGTGAGGACCAGGGGAACAGGTTAGGATGTTAATGAGAACTGCCTACTTCTGGGATATCTGGGTGAGACACTAAGTTCCCCAATGTGGAAAGTGTTCAAAGACCGTCTCTTGGTAGGGACGTGTGGGGAATTCTTGCTTGCATCAGGAGCTGGACTAAATAATGGATAAGCTTCCTTTTTAAAATCTATTTAAAGCTCTCCTCGGCAGACCAAGAACATTTGTCTCACAGATAGCAAATTCACATGTCAGGCCACTTGTGAGGAGGTGGAGGAGGGGAATGCAGTCTTCCAGGTGGGAACTGTCTCAGCACTGAGCCGTCAGAGACTGGCTTTTATGGGCTGGAAGCCTTCTCCATGCTATTGCTGACAGCTGTGTTGGGGCAGAACTTCCTGAAAGGACAAGCCGGAATGCAGGCTGGGCCCTGGACATGTTTGCTGTGTCAACCACCTTCGGGAGTGGAGGGGACAGCATCAGTGGGAGGGGCAGGGAAGTTCTGCAGTGAAGATGCCCCTCACCACCCCTCATTCCATCAGAGAACTGCTTGCTTGTCCTTGTGGACTGAGTTTTTTTTTTTTTTTTTCATATTTTTTTGCTTGAAGAAAGGGTTCTAGATTTAAAAGTTTAAAACTTGAAAGCCACCCAGAGTCCCCATCCTCAAAAACATTTACAGCCCAAGATTCCTGTTGCCTGTAGAGACATGGGGTGGCAGTGGACTTTGGGGGAGCAGCTCCACAAGCCTTTGGCAACCAAGGCAAGAACGGTTAGGCAGTTGGCAGGCCAGCAGCCCCAGAACCAAGGCCCAAGTCTGCCACTCTTACCCAGGGGTGGGCCTAGGTCTATCTAAAGATGGAGAGGGGATGGGTAGTACAGTGGTAGAGTGCTTGCCTAACATGCCCAAGTCCATGGGCTTGATCTCAGCACTGAAAACATAACATTAAGGAGGTAGGAGGTCGCAGATGGCAGATCCAGGGCCAGGGGCACCAGGAGGACCACTCCTGGGTGAGTGGGGTGTGATTCTTGGCCCAAATCTGACGTCCGCAGTTCCGGGCAGTCCCTCTCTGGGCATCTGTTGCCCAGGGCCTTTTGTGCCAGATCCCTGCAGGTCCTCAAGATGAGACTACCTCCTCCTGTCAGCTTCAGATCAGCATTCTTAGGGCAGCAGTTCCATCAAACATAGCCCTTCCCAGCTTGAGACGGAAACCAGGGGTGCCAGCAGGTTGGGGAGGGCTGCTGGCTGGCCTGAGCAGTACCTTCTGCTCAGGGAGAAGTGGCTGGCTACAGATGGCACCATCTTTAGCACCTCTGCCTCCTACTTAGCAAGCCCCACCTATATTCATTTTGATTGCCATATAACGGATTACCAAAAATTTATCATCTGAAATGGCACCAATTATTTCATTGAAGGTTTTGTGGGCCAGGAGCCCAAGCTCAGCTGGGTCCCTGTTCTTGGCTGCCCTGGCTGCAACTGAGGTGTAGCTCCTATACTCTTTGCTGGGGAAGAGGCCACTTCCCAGCCCACCAGGCTGTTGACAGAGTTCACTTCCTCGCAGCAGTGCCATAGAGGCTGGGCATTTGCTGGCTGGTGGTGAGCTATGGCCCCCTGTGGTGAGTCTTGTCAATAAGGCTGTGGATTTCCCTACAAGGAGAGGATGTCACCTCCCAAAAGTCCATTCCCTTGTTCCCCACTCAAGGGCATTCATCTGATTGATTCAGGCCTACTCAGGACATTTCCTCCTTAGAAGGACTCAGAATCAACTAATTTGGGGCCTCTGTGCCATCTGCCAGATCCCTTCCTCTTGCCATATTCTACTGACCAGAGAAGCAAAAGTCATAGCCACTCCTGGCCCCGAGCTCAAGGGGTCAGGGTTAGGCAGGGTGTGAGTAGCAGGAGGCAGGAATTCTGGGGGCTACTCTGGGTGTCTTCCACACTCCTCTTTCAAGGACTTCCAGATTACAATACTTTAATCCCTTATCCTAGTGGCTGGCAGTACACCACTCCCACCCCATGCTCAGCCTGTCCGTATCTGCCTGTTCCTGCTGGTAATCCACGAGTCAGTTTTTCACCTTACACGTCCCAGCTGATGGACAGGGTAGAAGTTATTGCATCAAAGAAGTAAATCCTCCAAAGGGGACAGTGCATTATGGCTGTGCAGACCCCCTGCCTTATCCCTAAGAAGTGACCAGTGGTGGACAGTGTCGAGAGCCATGACCAGTTAGAAATAAGAGCGGTGACTGGAATATCAAGAAGGCCACTCTCACTGTGCTTTGCAGGTGTTCCAGAGAGCCCTTTGTCACAGGGTCATGGTCGAGCCTCCCTCCTTCTGCCACCCCAGGGGACAGATGACCTGACAAATCACCTGCATTTTGTAGTGTTGTGTTTTGCAGTGCCAGGTACTGGGAATTGTCCCTGTCCCCTCTATTCTGTTAATAATGATGGTAATAGGTAATCATAATAATAATGGTAACAGGTCACTAGTGGAGTACCTACTAGGCTAGGCATTGTGCTAAACATCCTAGCGATGCTCCATGATCTTTTATAGGTCGGTACTGTCACTGTCTTCATTTTAGAAATGTGGAAGCTGAGTCTCCAAGTCTAAGACTCAGTTTCCAGGTCGCACAGTTAGTGAGTGCAAAAGCAGGAAGGCTGTGTCCCTGGGACGTCCCACTCTAAGCTTGTGTTGCCTGTCAGGGACAGACGGTGCCCTGTATTCAGAGCTGGGTCTGCAGATTCCCTCACGCTGTGCCGTCAGGCTGGTCTCTGAGGCAGCTCCCAGAGGGCCTGCAGAGTGTGAAGGGAGGAGGTGGGCAGGGAGGAAGAGTGGTCCCCGGCTCAGGCAGGGCCCCCTAAGTCCTTCACAGACAGCAGCCCTGGAGCTCCAGGAGTCTCAGAGACACTGACATAAGTGAGAACGGTAAGAGAGAAACAAATCAACCCACACCCAGGAACTAAATGCCAAGACAGACCAGGCTGTGGCGCCTGCCAGAACACCAGAGCTCCATGTCCCCATGTGTCATCACAGGAAACACGAGACCACGCAGCTGCCAAAGCAGCCCAGGCCTTGTGCAGTGCCTCGTGAGGCAGGAGAGGGCTGCAGGCTGGATCCGGGTATGGTGTGGGTGACAGACTTGGAGACAGATCACGGAGAAGACACAGGGTCCTGCCATGACCAGCTCTGCCGATTTGAAGCTCAGGCCTGACGGCACAGGTTTCCCTGGTTGGCCGGGCTTTGCTGTCACTTTTGTTTTTTGCACATTACTTTGGTAGTTAGCTGCTGGGGTAGTGAGTATAATGCACACAATCCAGCTGCTGTATTTGGATCTCAATGTCCCCAGGAGTCATGTGGAAAAGGTCCGTCCCCAGGGTGGCACCACTGAGTGGAGAGACATGGGGGCGGCCTCTGGGTCACATTGTGGTGTGGGACTTGTGCCCTGACTCTGCTCAGCTGCCTGGAGAGCCGGTGAGGAGCGGAGAGGTTTCTGCCTCACCAAGTGTAGCCACCATGAAGTGCTACCTGGTTGCAGGCCCAAAGCGACAGGGCCACTGATCATGGGCTGAAATCTCTAAAAGCATGAGTTAAAATAAACGCTTCCTTTTAGTTTGATTATCGGCAAAGATGACCTTCGAGCTAAAAGGCAAGTCCTCTCGGTCCCTCTCCTTCCTTCTCCAAGCCCACTTCCTTCCTCCCTTCCTTCCTTTCCTTCTTCCCTGTTTCTCTTTGGAGTCCTCCTGGCTTCTCCCATCCTGGAGGAGTCACCAGTTCGGGGACACCCACTGCTTCCGAGAAGACACAGGAATCGATCAGTACCCGGAAGACTAGGTGAATTCAGTTCACATCAAGGAGCTTCCAGGATGTGCCAGCTCTGTGCTCAGCCCTGGGTGTGGGAGTGCACAGCTGGGAAGAGGAGCTGGGGCCCAGGAGAAGAGGCCATAGAAGCCCCAGCTTGGTGAAGGATGCTGGGGCGGGGGAGGAAGGGTCAGCGCTCCTGTCTGTGCCAAGCATCCTTGTTCCAACGCCACCTGGGTCTCTGGAGAGGGAGAAGAGGTTTCAGTTTTCAGTTCTTGGGGCATCTTCATCATCCTTCCTTCTCACCCCTCCTTGTCATGCCCACTGCTGCCCGCAGTCCCTTCTGTTACTGTCGGGAATATTAAAAGCAGTTTCCACACCAGTTAGGGGACTCTCCAGAAGGCCTCTGCTCCCTGGCTGTACCCAGGTTGGGGAGAGAAACCCCAGGAAACAGAGGCAGGATGTTTTACTCCCAAGACCTTGGGAGGGGATACCACAGGCAGCAAGATGAGATCTCTGAGGACCCTCGTCCACCTTAGAGACCCCTTCGGTGACACTGCCAGTTCCTGACCTGCAGTTCCATGCCCTCAGCACTGAGGGCTGAGGAGAAGGGCAGCAGGGAGCCTCCCAGCTGCACTCAGGCCTGGCCAATGGACCATGAGAAAGAACAGGGAGGGCGTTTTGAGGTAACCCATTTTTTTTCTGCCAGTCAACGTGATATATTGCTCAGATCTTCAACAGTTATTATAAAGAAACTCAGACTTGATCACAATCAAGTTTAATCAAGGGAGCCCATTTGTAGATTGATTATAGCTTAATAGATTTATTAGGAACTGAGTGGTCTGAGCCAATCTGGCCTGCTAATTGGGAGAGAAAAGGTTGAAGGCTAAAAGCTTGGAGGGAAAAGGAGTTGGGGGAGAGGGCCAGGGAGAGATTTCAAAGAGAACGGGAGGGCACCTGGGTTATGCAGAATGGAAGAGGCAAGTGGAGCTGAGTGAAGGTGAGGAGAACGTTTGGGAATAATTTTTTCCAGCAATTCTTAGGCTCATTAAGCAGAGCTCATTATTTAGTTTTTTCCAAAATGCTCGGTCTTCATCTATAAAACAGGCATACTCACTTCCTAGCTTGTGGGGTGGCTTCAAGGTAAGGGGAGACTGTGCACATGAAAGAATGCAGTGGAGAGCATGCTCCAGTCTGGGTCTTCAGTGTCCCCGAGCCCTGTGTGGAGGCTTGGGCCCTGGCCTGTGGGGCAGGTGGGGTGGGGCCTGGTGGAAGTCGAGTTACTGAGGGTACCCGCTCAGAGGGGGTGGTGGGGCCCGAGCCCCATCTCCTCTCTCATTGCTTCCCAGCCACTAGGAGGTGAGTGGGGCTCCTTCCCCAATCGTGCCCACCTGATGTGCTGCACCTCCGCAAGCCCAAAGCAAGAGGCCAACCAACCATGGACTGAAATCTCCAAAACCGTAAACCAAAAATAACTTTCCCTTTTCTCCCTTAACTCGTGGGTCTCCTGCTGATTAACTTAAAAGTTAACTGATTGAGGACCTTAAATCTTATGAAGAATTTCTTCCCCTTAGCACCAGGAATAGTATTTGATTAAATACCTGTGGGAAGGTATTGTGTATCATACAGTATTGTGGCTGCCTCTTCTCTGACCTATACCTCTGGACAGAGAATACTTCCCATAGTTCACCCTAAAAGGAAACAAATTAGAATCGGAATTCTGGGGGCCCAGACAACTTGAGACATCAAAAAGCTGTCACATCCATAGATTTCTTTTTTCCCCATAAGCTAAATTTGAGTGAGGTGTCTACTAGTAGGAAAAAGATTCCGACTCAGTGCGATGTGTTTATTGATTAGTCTGCACACATACAAGTGAGTAGGTATTACCAGTTTTAGAGGCTTGAGACTCAGAAGGGTTAAGAAATTTGTTCAGAGACACAGAGCTTCAAACAAAGTCTGTCTTTCTACTTCCCATGCTACAATAAGTGAATTCCTTGGGCAGTTTGGAAGCTGACTTCAGCAGTGTTATTTTTTTTCTGATAAAGATGTTCAAAGCTGATGTGCTTTATTTAGCTGATGACAGAACAAGGCCAAGAAATAGATTCTATCTTCATGACCCAATGCTTGACCTGGATGTATTATTAGTTGGGTGATGTAATCAGTGGTTTGATCTGTTTCTCTTGTTGTGTTTGTATCTATTTTTTTGGAGATTATTACTTAAAATTTTAACTTTTATTTGGAGGTTTCTTCCTACATGAAGTAGCATAGATCTTAAACTCACCTACAAACAGCAGTCACAGTCACAATGTCAAACAGGCACTTAGAAGTCCCTTGTAACAGTGATCAAGGGAACAAAGGAAGGCACAGATGAAACATATCTGGAATAAAAGAAGCGGAGTGTTGTGACACTCACCTGTAATCGTACCATTCTTGGATCACAAGTTCAAGCCGAGCCCGGGCAACGGAGCAATGTAGAGATGTCCTGCCTGAAAATTAAAAATAAAAAAAAAAAAAAAGAATTGAGGATGTAGCTCAGTGTGAAGGCTCTGGGTTAAATCCTCAGTACTGGGGGAAAAAAGAGATTGCAGATTCCACAGACTTTTTTTTTTTAAGAGTAGGACATTTATTGAGGGAGAAACAGCTCCTGAGAGGTAGGAGGGGACCTGGAAAGCAGGTTACCCTCCAAAGACTTTTTTTCTTTTTTGGTACCAGTGATTGTACTTGGGACCTTGCCCTTGTGAAGCAGGTGGCAGAACCACTGAGCTAAATCCCTGGCCCCGTTTTGTTAAAAAGTTAAAAGAGCTGCCCCAACCAGCTCTGTTAAATCTGACCATGGGGGACTGTGATAATAAGTCACAGTGATAAAGCTGTAACTGCGATAACTCATTGCATAGCAATGGTAGTGGAACACTCCTGCCACACTTGGCTGAAAATGTTCCTGGGATTTTCCCATCACCACCAGGATGAAGAACAAATTCCACTGGCCTTCAACACCAGAACTTGCTTCCCTCACCAGACCCAGCTCCTGGCTCTGCCCACCCAGCCCTAGTCCCAGCCATACTGCAGCTGCTGGGATGGTCCCTACTTTCCTAGGCTTCCATGCCTCGTACATGGGGTTGTTCTGCTGGATGTCAGGAAGACAACCGGATATTTATCAAATCATCTGGAAATAGGGGGATACAAATCTGCTTCCTTACTTAAAATCCCTTTTCTTCAGGAATAATGATTGAGTGGCCCTAACATAGTCAGGGTACTCTGCGAAAGTGCTTTCAATGAATATGCGCTATGCTGGGGATTTAGCTCACTGGTTCCACCACCTGCCTTGCAAGCACACGGACCTGAGTTTGAGCCCCGGTACCAAAAATAAACAAGCAAAAATTGCAAACAAAGAATATGGGCTATTTTCTAGGCTTCTGAATAAAATAATTGTTATGTGTATGGAACCTGGAGCCAGATTGCCAGTCGTCAAATTCAAGTTCTATCTCTTAGTAATGGGTGACTTAGTGCAGTTTATTTAACCCCTCTAAGCTTCAATCTGTCCATCTGTAAAATGGGGTAATAAAAATACTTCATAGAGTGAAGAAAAGGATTACACGAGTTAAGGCGTGTACCGTATTTAGAATGGTCCCTAGCAGAGAATGCTTGGGAAGGTTTATTCACAATGCAACAACTCTGCAAGTAGTTTAGTCACTGTTCAAATTTCATTGGGTGTTGCTCTCTTTGGGGGACCTCCTCCATGTCACCTCCACACTGGCTGGTTTCACAACAGGCCACCCCACCAGCCCCTCAGCACACCACAGCTCAGCAGGTGTCCCTGTGTGCAGTCCAGACAGTGCAGTCCCACCCTTCCATCTACTGGATTCTTAAAGGCAGGGATGGATTTTATTCATTTCTCTCTTCCCCCAACCCGAGTCATAGTAGGCCTTCAATAAATATGTAGTAAATGGAATCTTGCTTTGACTTTACAAACAGCAATTTGAGCCCAGGGAAAGCTAAACAAGAGCTCGTAAGCCTACAGGTAGTAGGGGCTGAACAGAACCAAAACTTCTAGTTCATTTCTTCTGACTCTTAGGCCTAAATTAGTACAGATTAGCGTGAGCAGGTGTGTGTGTGTGTGTCCATTCATGCCTGGTCATTTGCTTTTAAAATTATGTTATCAGGTACTCATAAAATAATCCATGTTCTTTCAGGGCCCTTCTGAACAGTTAGTATTCCTGGATAAAGGACTACTGGGAAGGAAGTAGAACTACATCTTGCCAGTTAGTCAGTGGCTTGCTGATTATCTGGATAACTCTGAAAATTTGAATTCCCCATCACATCAGAGGCTGTTACTTTGATCCATTTGTTACTTTCCCAGGTGAGGAAATTAAGGCAACGTCCCTGAGAAAACTGAAATTGCCTTGACTTGGGGTTGGGCACTAGTGCTCTGCCTATCCCATCTGCCTCACCTCACTGCCAGCATCAGACGCCATCCTGTTGCCCAGGACTCACTGAGCACAGTTCGCACTCCCTTCTGCATGTGTGTGTGTGTGTGTGTGTGTGTGTGTGTGTGTGCGTGCGCGCGCGTGAGTGTTGCGGAGACCTGGCCCGATGTTTGAAAATGTTATCTCCTGCTTCCAGCTCTATCATTGATCCCAGAACTGCTTTTTCTCCGTGACGTGAAACACATCCATTTAAATCAGAGGGGAGCGAAGGCTCGCTAGGTAGCAGGTGCTGCCCGTCCGGTCCCTTCTCCCTAGCTGTGGGCTTTCCCGACGGCTCGGCTCCCGGGTGTCCCGGAGGGGAGGGCGAAGGCGAG